TATATATCGGACATGCAGTGGTGGTAATTCTTGCTTATTACAATTCTTTTAAGCTTATTGTTTGAATTACTCCAGATTTACTGACACATCGTCTCACATAATAGCAAAATATATACATCGAAACCTATTTTAAATGTAGTATTACTTTGAAATTATAATACAGTTGAAAAGCTGAGTGTAAAAATGAAATATGAAAATATAATTCTTTTTTCTTTTATTTTCCCCAGATCAACATCATGAAGTAATTCATGTTTTTCTATTTTGGTTTTCTTATTCGTTTTCTAGTTACTGTACGTTTTACATTTATGCTTTATTGTAATATTAAAGTGTTTATCGCACGACGCGAATAAGTGAGATATATAATTGTTGTTCATGTTGTTGTTAAAATGAAGAAATAAACAAAAATATTCAGTATAGTGCCTAAACAATTACCCCTATATCGACAGCTAGCAATGTATCTACCGTACAGCCATCAATAATGATATTATAGCTGCACTCACTATATGCAAGAAGCATCTGCTTCGTCAATATATTCGTCTATGGTTTTATTGCAAGTAATCAACGTTTGATTCTTGCACATTTTTACTCCTACAGCAACGCACCAATAATCCAATAAAATATAGCACTGAAAATAAAAGCACACAACCCCCAAATTTCAGTTATTATTGAGAGTCGGGTAAATGTATTACCCGATCCGACCACTTAAGTCAAGAGTTTTAAGCACATTTTTTTTTTCTGGAAAATTATTGAAAAAATAAAAAATGTCGTTGTGGATATGCATTGTGATAACATTTACAAAAATGAAGCAATGCTGTATTGAATATTACCAAAGACTTATGCAATAAGGAATGCAACTTAAGCGACGAGAATCTTATTCCCCATTAAATCAACGTCATATAATAATGCAGTAGTCGCCTGGAAAGGTTTGATCGCGTACAGAAGTGGGTGAGATGATTATCACGGTATCCATAAATGTAATAAAAAGTTAGTTAGTTAGAGTGACGTCACAATTTTGTGTCGACCAATCAAATTAACATTATCTGGGATGGGATATCACAAATATATAATGGACGGATCACATTGAACAGGCATGGTTAAAAATGAAATTGTGGCGCTCATCCCACTCTACTTTAGACCTCACAAGGTCGTCTGCGATAATAAATGTTTACAACCAGCAAGCAATGTAATGTTTTACGCGGTAATTGACGTCATAGACATGCGAACAATTTACTGTTACGTCATTCATGATGTGCGTCAAACCGTTGGCGTACTCAAAATATAAAGAAAGTAGTAACAACGTATTCTGATCAGCGATTTCATCATCGTCGTAAAACCCATTACTTTTGCAGCGCGTAGTAGTTACTACAGTAAAGACGTGGTGAACTTCGCCTATGTCATAATTTTTAGTACTAATCACAGTGCAACCCTTCATAACAAAAGAACCAATCAACTTATGTCTAAAAGTAGACAAGCCGTGCCCTCCTTCTAAAACATGCGCTGCTTGGTCATTTGCTAAGCTTACACACGTTTTTGTTGACACAGGAATGTTTTTACTAAATCCTTCTTTATGACTCGCTATTCGGAATTCTGGAAAAAAATGGGTATCAGAACAAAGTTTTGGAATTACCCATTTTACAACTCAAAATGATCGGCAAAGTAGCCTTAACCTATATGGAGACAATTGCATAGTTAGTGTTTACACAGTTAGTGTTTTCATGGAAGCGAGTGCGTTCACCTCGTGTTTTTATTTACTTCTAAACATTTATTCAATGTAACCTTTCGCTGAGCACATAATATCAAGAATTTGTAGTATTTTTTAAATGTCGCGTCCTTGAAATGTATCACGTGGTTGAATACTTCCGATTTAGACAATAATTACGTTGGGGGCGTGAGCCACTATTCATAATAATCAGTTTACCATGCTGGTGGAGGGCTCATACAACTAATTGAAACCCCATAGACGACAATGTTAACATATGACGAGATTGCTATATGAAAACAATAAACAAAGTTAAAAACGTTGCTCAAAAATGGGAAATCGACATGCCAGTAATTAGCCACCTGAAAAATGAAGTACTTCCCGTGAGATCAAGTGTTCTGGTTAGTATACCACGATACGATTCCTTTCTTCCACTTTGTCTTTTACTGCCCTCAACGTTCCTTCTTGAAAGTTATTTGATAGGCTGCGGCGATGCCCTGATGTGGTGGACTGTAAATTGGATAACACGTAGAGACCGGGAAACGTGAGTGTACGACTGTCGAAATAGCTTTTAAACGATTTTCCTTTGAGTACAAAAAAAAAACATAGTAGTATGTTAAGACGAGCTGATCGATTTGATGATAAGACGATACACTACCGCCAATGCACCTTTGAAACAAGGGTGAAACAAGGTCACGCAAACTTGATTAAAAAACGTTACCAGGAGGGAGTATTTTAAGCAGACATGGGTTACGTAATTTTTAATAATAAGCAATCAATAAAAGAGATTAGTACTGCAGGTGTATGCATTGCTGTATATGTGAATGCATTATACGCCATAAATCGCGCCCTCTAGTGCCCATGCGCTTCTTCGACTTCGCGAATGTCATTAAAATCGTCTATATTATTTAGATATGTAACCGTCCATCAATAAGCACAATTTTTTTAACAGATTTACTATATTCTAGACGGCTACACAACCAAACAGAATTGTCAATTTGATTGACATCAACCCCATTTTGGCATAACAGGAGCGTTAGAGGGCGCGATTTAAAAGATTCATCGTTTTGAGTTTGTAAACGCTGCATGTTGCTTTGTGTGCCTGGGCGAATGTTACTTGTAGGTGTAATGCAAATGCATTATTTATTTATACAAGTCCTGCATATGCAATATGGCTGATATTTGAGCCCATATTGCCGCATGCCTAACTATTTTGTTTCGTTTAATCAGCATCGATATGGTGTCATAATCAGCATCTATGAGTTAAAGGGCAGTGGTCAAATTTCTTGTAAACAATGTATTTTACGCGCGTTATATCGAACAGGACGCGGTGCGACGACCGCCACCCTTTAATAGTCAGCATCGATGCTATAATGAACATCCGTGATGTCATAATAAGATTACGTAAGATAAGCTATACATGCTGGGTTTCGCTGCCAAATTGTGTGATCTTGATACATTAATGGAATTTCTCATAACGACGGCAATTATTTAATCATGTTTACAATTATTCAAATTTATCGGTACCGTCCGTCGTTTTACGTCATCATTCAAATGTTAGCAAATAATGTAATATTAGCGTAAGTCAGACATATTGATCATTCTGCGGGGAATTTTGTCTAATACACAGAGTAAACTAAAACGCTGTGAGTTTGTTAAATTTTATTTGACGTTACATTTCGACATTAATACTGAATACAAAAATGGCAGTACAAATTCTATCAGTCAATAAGCTAACACTTCAAACCTCAAATGATCTTCATCCAAAGCCTTAAAACGCGTCTATTTTCTATGTTTTAGAAGGGACTACACGTACGCCACCAATAATACGTGTGTAATCGTATACTAGTTATCAATCATGCATGAATCGGAGACCACGTGTCAATTTGCGTTATTATCAAGTATTTTCGTTTGAAATGTTTAATGTTTCATACTAGTTAAGTTTCCAGTTACATGGTTGCCTGGCAACTGAATCATTATTGTCGCTACACCCGATATGAGGGGCGTCTAAGCCTAAAGTGTTTAGCCATTATTTTATGATACCAAATAGTAAGAGCCGTTTGGGAACATAGTCGGGTTTATTGGTGCCCCCAGGAACAATGTGGCAGCAATGTGTGTCGCAATAGAAACTGGTTTGCAACCCTTCATTTGGCATATAGCCTAGGCGGGATGCAATATTGCCGCGGGGATTCACTTGACTTGAAAGATAATGCATAATGTCATAGCAAAAATTGCGTTGTCAAGTACTGCAACAGTGGAACGCCTAAACTGTGTACTTCAAGTGATTACGAGTAAACGCCCCTGGATGGGTGTGCTGGGCAGTCAAGGGGTCGAAACATATTTAGAACTGGTTGAGAATTCTCCTTTTGATTTTTCTAAGCCTAATAGAATGTAGTTTGATGGGAAGATATGAATCAGCTTTCCCTCTGTGTTGTCGCGGTTGGAACGTGTATTGGATATTAAAAGGCGGATTTCTTACGGTAGTATATGTCAAAGGTTGAGTTTTATCAAGATTTGTTCATCTTTGAATCCATCTTCTTGGTGTCGAAGGCTTTTCGAATACAGGTACTTGCCTAATAACACTTCAATAATATATGAATTAGGATTAAACCGAGAATATGTTAACATCATGTGAAATCAGACAAGAACAAAATAACTACAAATGTGACAATAACATCTTACAACTTACAACGCTATAAGAAGACTGTAGATATAATCTGACAAAAAGATGAACTCTGAATAAAAGATGCAAATTATATACAAATGTACTGCATATTAATTCATTGCCTGAATAAAATAAAAATAAATACTCAACTTTTTTCCTACAATGTCACTGAAATCTGAATTCATGCAGTTTTAAAACGGTCTTGTTTTTTCGCAAAAGACGAAGTAATGTATTGATTTATCACTATTGACGGATGACCTGCATCTCCCATCATTGCAGTGTATTGTGGGTAGACGAGGAACACCGGAAATGGTGGCACAGAGCCACTATGTTCGCATGTTACTTATCCAATCATTTACGTGGACACACACAACAAAACTACTGCGCATGCGTATACCATCTACTAAGTTGTACGTTTCACAACCGGTGTACAATATAGAAATACATATATCGTAATACGACGAGCGGGAACAGTAGAACGAGAAAATTGTTATGTATTAAATAGTATTTACATCATATACTTTAGGTATATTGTAGTGTCTTGAAACAAAGAATCCAGTTTTAACAAATTTATAAAAATTATTTATAACTATAGAAGAATCTTGGAATGTGATAATCGTTAAGAGGCACGTACAGTAGTCGATTCAGATACGTCTTTAAAATATTGAGACATTATAAAAACAATTGAGATTTTACGACGGTTAGTTTCAATTTTAAATATTAAAGCCTCACATACTGGACAACAAAGTTGGTTTATATTATTGTTAATATTATCAGAGTGCACCAAAGTCTTAAAAACTATATAATGTGCAGTGTTTATTTTCGCGAATAAGAAGTTATTTCAGTCAGCAATGTCGTCAATATCATAATCATCGTCGCCATCGGCCACAGGAATTCCATCCGGAGATGGCCCGCCGACAGGAGTGTCTTCTTCTTCCACTGACTCGTTCGATCCATGCCGCACCACCACTTCGGCAAGTCTCGTTTCTTCGGCTTCAACTTGTTGGTTATCTGCCATCAGGAATCTATCCTCACTTCGATCTCCATGGGAACCCTGATCATCGCATGCAGCGACTCTGTCCAAATCCTTTTGTTTCTTTCCTTTCTTCTTCTTTTTTTCCTTCGATTTTTTTTCTAAGTCTTCAGCTTTTAAAGTTTCTCTCTTCGATACATCATCGGGATCCTCGATATCCTCTGCGAGCGCTTTCGATTTCCGCTCCTTTTTCTTCTTTTTCTTCTCTTTCTCTTTTTTAGCTGCTTCTCGTGAACACTTTGTTTGTGTCAGTGCCGTCTCCTCTTCCGCGTACACTAACTCCGTGCGAGGTTTGCATACACACATGCTTATGAGGGCGATGATGAAGAAGATAAAAGCCAATCCCTTCAAGACTACAGACATGCCAAAAAAGAGGTACTTATACATCTCGATATCATATACCCAGCATGCACCTTGTTCTCCACATGGTCTTGTGTGCCATAGAATACATGTAAAGTCAATAGCTTTCCCATAGTATATAGGAGCCGGTACAAATCCTACAATACAATAATTAAAAACAACAAATGTCAATGGCGTAATCGCTAAAAAGCATTAAAGGCACATCCATATAGTGCTACTACTGTCTAGCATTTTTGTTGTTTGAAGTGTCTCTAAATCTAAAATAAACAAAGATATCATCATCGTTCATTTGAGCGAATATCTATTATTGTTTTGCTCAATTAAGAAAGCATACAACTACGTAATGCTCACCGGACGTCAATCTACAAGTGTCTAAGGGATTACCTAACGTGTTCATTATATAATCGATGTCGATGTATTTTAACAGTTATTTTGAAAGGATACCAAATAAATATGGACGAAAACATGTATTTGTTTATATTCTTCTTCGACACAGTACGTCGAAGACCAAGGTTATGATTATGTCTTCTTTGCAGAACACTGTATTATCCTTTACGGTAAATAAAAAACATGAACACGCATGCGCAGTGTACATTACTGTACGTACCAACTAATCAGTAAACATGCGTATTGGAGATTGTCATTGTTTTATTGAATGGACACTCCACTGTCTGCTGCAAGAACATTTCTTCCGTTCGTGATAAATCAACAGTACCAATATTAAACTCTATACTGCAACTATATGACTCAAACATTATTATGTAATACCGATATATCTGCTGTACAGTAGTCATATTCACAGTAAAACCCTATATATTATCTACTCACCAAATAATCTCAATATTAGATATTGAACACCAATCGCAAACGCCTTATCCCTCTGTACGACGCTCCTGCAATGAGAAAAGTTAAAGCCACGTGATATAAGGGCGATTTAGGCCAGATGATGAAGTTGCATCATTTCCATATCGACAACAGTTGCAATGAAAATTATCAGGCTGCTGGAGTTGTAAGCATGCCAGATTGTGCTCTCCCTAAATTACAGAATAAAATTTTCGACGTATATTGTAATGAATACAACTTACCTCAGAGTTACCATTACAACCGGTATTGTTTCCATACTAAGTAGCACCGTACTAAGACACAACATGATCATGAATGGTATAAAATAGTCGCAGTCTTGTTTGCAGACCCCGGCATTTATCGAGTTGGGATATTCCTTGACCGGTAGCTCGACGACCATAGACGTTACAATCTGATACTGTTGCAGTGCAATCGGTGCTTTCGTTGTAAGGTTAGCGGCATTGTTATCTACTTGGTCTGAGGCATTGTCCTTGCTAATTTTTGTCGTCGTCGGTGTTGTTGTCATCATGACCGTTGGAGGCGTCATTTCACTAGCCTCTACGCAGCCGCATTCATAGTATATCTATATGAAGCAAATGACGTTAAAATATTAACTGTTTAATTGAGGTGAGCGAAATTGTGATTCTGTTAATTCGACAAATATGAAAACATGTTTTTAGACTATACTTTGTATATCACGCAAATTACAATTTTATTTGTGACATATATATAGCCTTAAAGAGTATTTTAATCCAAAACTAATCAAGTATTTAGCAATACCCCCAAGCACTTATATACTAAGTCTTATTGAAACGCAATAACTGTTTTTGAGATATAGGTAGATAATTAGATACTAGTAATTGTTATGCAAATTAAGCGATTATTATACATAGATTTCAATCCAAACTAAATAGGTCTGTGATCAAACACACGAACTGTTGTACAATGGTGTTTGTAAACACACGAACTATTGTGCAATAATGGTGTTTGTAAACACACGAACTGTTGCGCAATATTGAAAGTGTTTGTAAACACACGAACTGTTGCACAATAACGGTGTTCATAAACAAACTGTTGCACAGTAACGGTGTTTGTAAACACACAAACTGTTGCATGATAAGTGTTTGTAAACACACAAACTGTTGCACAATAAGTGTTTGTAAACACACGAACTGTTGCACAATAACGGTGTTCATAAACAAACTGTTGCACAGTAACGGTGTTTGTAAACACACAAACTGTTGCATGATAAGTGTTTGTAAACACACAAACTGTTGCACAATAACGGTGTTCATAAACAAACTGTTGCACAATAACGGTGTTTGTAAACACACAAACTGTTGCACAATAACGGTGTTTGTAAACACACAAACTGTTGCACAGTAACGGTGTTTGTAAACACACAAACTGTTGCACAGTAACGGTGTTTGTAAACACACAAACTGTTGCATGATAAGTGTTTGTAAACACATGTTGCACAATAACGGTGTTCATAAACACACTGTTGCACAATAACGGTGTTTGTAAACATACAAACTGAAAAAAATAAAAAAAATAAATAGGTCTGTGATCATTAATTCTTAAAAAAATAGAAGAAAACTAATCGTTGTGTGCATTGTCCTAGAGTATTTATATGTACTACATTTCATTGAAATGTGACTAGAACTTGAAATATAGATTGAAATAAGATATATGATATGCATGAATCGTTAATTAGCTTTGATAATTGTCCTAGAGCATCTTTGTGCAAAGTTTCTTCGAAATCTGACCAGCGGGTCTTGAGATAATGATGGAACAGACATACGTACAGACAGACAGACAGACACACATGCAACTTTAATGAAATTTGTAAAATTTCTAGTATTTTCATTAATGAATTGGATTTTACTATATCTTTTAATATCGACACAGTTGCATAGAGTTGTTCTCCACTGACCTGTCCGTCTTTCTTTGTACACCCAGCATGACACGGCGAATAATACGTAATGCCATTTGAGCCGCAGACTGGGTTATAAGCTCTGTCCGTACAACCACAGTCTTTATTACAGTAAGCGGATAGACTCACTTCCCCGACCTCTGACCTGTAAGACACATCACGACAATTACTGACGAAACGAAACAATAGTTGTCCAGTTGATTTTTTTTAATTTTGTACCAGATTGTCATAATTTCCAGCTAGTTCCATGTCTTGATTAACAATTTTGGAAAACAAATGGAATAAATTACGGGTTTATTTTGTGAAGGTGGCAAAAGTTGACCCTGGGTTCAAAGGTCAAATGAGTGCAGTCGGTTCAGTCGTGAAGAGGGATGGCGGTGAGAATAAAGTAGACAGAAAATCACGAAAATTGTCACGTGACTACTACGACAATCCATTCCACAAAACGGCCATTGTTAAGAATCAAAATTGAAAAATCTTTAACTTAGATGTCATGGTAACAAGGATGGTTACCCCTAGACTGTCGCCAGGTATCGGTCTTAATGTAATTGTGTAAATGTGTATTTGGCGTTTGATGGGAATGCGAAGTATTTACGCGTGGGACTTTAGTCTCGATAGTCGGTCGTTCCTAACGCACTCCATATTTCCTGTCCTGGCGTTCGCAATTTAATCACGTCTATTACGTTTATACACAATATTTATTAATAATAACAGATTAATATTATGTATGACCGACTATCGACAGTTTACCCTTATTCGTCACAGAGCTGAAACTAATTTGGTGTAATCTATCAAAGAATCAATTTGGATTTCTTTTCACTACCAATTCTCCTTAAAAGATTACAACCTTTAGGAAATAATTTGCATGAAAATGAATTATTCCACTTGTCAACATTCCATTCTCAGTGCGTGCAACATGACATAAAGAAACATTATTTTCAATTGCATGCTAATACTGACAAGTCACGTGGAATGAACAGTAGTTACTGCTCACCATGCAAGATTCTCTCCAGTGACGTCATAAACAATTGACGCGTTTCTCCAATGACGGTTGCGGGAGAAACTAGATTACGTTAACAATGCATGTGAAAGATTTAAATACAATACATGTTGAGTCATGCCCGATCAATAGTCTGTGCTATTTTCTTTGGCTATTGTTTTTATTAGGTAACCTTGTCGAATACCACTTCTACGACAGATGCGCACCATAGAGGGCGTGCAATATAAGTCGATAATAGTAATGCAATTCAATGTACTCATTTTTTTAAAAATTTAATAACAACAGATCAAAATATAAGTATGACAACCTTTGAGTACATCTCTTTTCGAAATCACGTGAATGAATTATCGTTCTTTATCTCTGCACACATAAAAATAGCAGTGTTAAAGCGAGGGAGTCGTCACCTGCGCATGCGTCAGATGGCCGTAACGTGTCATTGTTTACAAACAAGCGTCTACCCATGAGCCTTTGCGTTGTTAGCGTGTGTTGTTATCGTCGCTTGGGACTCAATTCCCGCTTTAAACGTATAACGATACATGACTTGGGAGGTTTATGTTTTATGAAATTTCAATATAGTTATTTGTAGATGTGAATGCGTGATTCATATCCGAAAAATGCCCGAAAACACGTCTTCCAAAATATTTCACCGTTTCTCCAAATTCCCACTTACTGAATGATGTTCATGTAATCGTATTTCAATAGAAACGGTGGTCTCGGCATTTTAATAGAAATATATTTGACGATTCATATTATACTCACACACTGTAGTAGTTTGTATTGGCCCCGGCAAACTGTGGTGGATTGCAGCCTAGTAATATCTGCAATCCCATCAATACAGTGGAGAAGAATGACAAACAAACAAGTACAGTGAGCATTCCACGTCTACCGAGGTTGGTTCGATAGATAATGACACCGATTACGATCACTCCGATGACAAATGAGGGCGCTGGTACACATGCTGTAACGAAAAAAAAAAACGGGTAAAACTCAATTGTATAGATTTTGTGTGTTTTAGTGGGATTCGGCGCATCAGGTATAACATAGTAAGGTGAAACAGTGGAAGGTTCGTCTTTCACTGGGTTGAACCTTATGAGGTCGATCAGTGTAGGGTTCGACTGTCACTGGGTTGAACCTTATGAGGTCGAACAGTGTAGGGTTCAACTTTCACTGGGTCGAACGTTATGAGGTCGAACATCGTCTGGTTCGAACCACCGGTGAAAACCAATACAGGGTTTGTAGCACCGTATTTGAAGTTCGTGGTCGGACAACACATTTTTGGGTTTACATTACTATAGTCAATCTCCAGTCACACTTTAGCAATAAATAGAATTGATGAGTTAGCTAAATAATAACTAGCATGGGGCACACATTAACACTACACATACACTTCCGTATTGGACGAACACTCCCCACTAGTGGAGTATGTGGCAATTCAGTAAAGAATTGGCGAGGTCAGCAGGCAAATGGACAGGTATTATATGCTCAACGCCCAAGTTCTTGGAAGTTCTCTGAAATGGGTATATTTTTGATAAGTAGGTTCAGTTTTAATTATTTGTTTGAAGAAGAAACCACCTTTCATCCAATGTATTGGAACTGTACCAATACAGAAATATCTGTTGCAAGAAAAAAATACTGATGAATATTTTTCAAAACGTGTGTCAATAAAAGGATTTATAAAGTCTCCCGGTGCGTCTAACACAATTTCATGCAGTCCACTTCAGTATATCTTTCATATGTTCATATCTAGCTCAATGATACACTGCCATGAGCGGCGGATGTCACACCGCGTAAACAAAATACACACATATAGATGTACTCAATTAATTATAAGTCGCCATCACATTCCATACTAGTAACTACAATCACTCTGATAGATACATTTTTCACACGACAGGATAATTGATCAAAGCAAGCACAGAGCGTCGGAATTAACATATTGAATTTCAAAAATCAATTTTCTCAAGGACCCAAATGCAGATTTTGAGAGGATTTTCGTATGCATCGGGTCCTTTGATTTGGGTTTGAAGATACTGAATTCTTGATTGATGTGAAATTCTGAGTATATGTTATAAAAGTACATTCACGGTATACAAACATATTTAACCTTCTATGACATAAATGCATACTAATTAGCTTATTTCTATATATGGAATGTTCAAAGAATAATTTAAATTATGTGATTGATTGTTACTAAGATTTTTTAATCAATATTGATACATGAAATAGGCAATGTCGGTAACTTTGAGTCTTGCTTTTTTGAGCATTTTTCCATATTGCATCTTGATTGCATTTGCTGCACATATATCAATATTCGCTCGATGAATTACTGGAAAACACCAGTGCGCATGCGTTCTAGGTTTACCAATACGTACAGATGATTAAAAACGCTCAGCATTTGTTGGTGATCATACCAGAATCAATTATTTCAACTCCCGATGCGAATTGACCATGTAATTCCGGGCGCCATGCAAATTGCAGACATTTCATTGAGTACATCCCCCTTATAGCACGACCAAATAAATCACGTGTCGCATGATAACATAATGATAATAATAATCTTACCGATAACGAGGTCGGCGAATGATGCACTGACGCCATATTGCGACTGCAGGTACTTGGGCAAGAAGAGATAATACCCGGCAGCGAACGCTATCTCACAACAAGCACCAATACTGATACACATATACGTACAGTTGGTGAGTAATCTCTTAGTTGTACCAGGCATGTCTATTGATAAACAAACAAACAAACAAATCACCAACAAATATATAAGAATACTGATCTAAATCTTTGACGACTAATAACTGTCTATAATTAGCGCTTTCACACACAACAATCAATTATGCAAATATTCACATAAATTTGTATGCAAAGAGTACAAAAATTGTGTTCGAGATCGTGGATCGAAGATGATGAATGAGAATCAAGATAAGCGGTGTTATATACTAAGTCTTATTGAAACGCAATACGGATTAAGAATAAACATAATCCCGTTTGCATACCAGCTCGATCCAGCTGCGTTCATTTATGAGATAGACCTACATTAGACCAACCTAGTATAGACCACAGAGGCACTTTGTATGGAATAAGGGACGAATAAATTTACCAGGATTATACAAATTTGCAAACTTTTTAACTGACGTCCCTTTTCATGTCGGAAATAATGTACTGAAATGAGTGATTATGAATATAATAGTAGATATTCAAAGAAACAACGAATATAAGGGTATTTTGTTTTTTTGTATTTTTTATTGCATTATTTTCCCAGGTCTTAAAAACGGGCGAGATTTAGCTCCTACTTGCCCGTATTAAGCACGTATTATTTTTTTTTTTAGCACGGGCTAATGTTTTTGAACTTTTAGTCCGTGTATAGGATCTGTGTGTGAACGCAACTATTGTCTCTCGTTTAATAGTGTTTCATATATGGTAACATAACATTATTTAAACGACATTATACCCTAGGCGCAAATGGACTTCAAGATCTCGAGTACCACGAGACATTGTTTTGGCTTTTCAAATAGTGTTTCATTTATTCCCGCAATTGCGTCTACTGTTCCACTGCCATATGTAGGGGGATTGGCACGAGAGGGCGCCGTCTGATCTGGATAAAACATTTCGAAATCAACGATGTGCTGGGCTCTGATCAAAACGTGTCACACACACTTTTACATAAGTTTTTTGATTATTTTTCAGCTCGTAATGATAGAAGTTGTCAATTTATAACTACCATGTTGGCTATATAAAAGCATTTTGGCAAAGTTTGACTGAAAAAAAAAACGTGTTTTTTTTCATTGCTCATGAATATTAATTTATGCAAATGAGGCGATTTGTTCAGCCAATAGATTTTATGTAACTCCGCCCTGGCTATACATAGCAATATTCTTAAGAACAGTGGACGTGATGCTTGGAGATGATGAAACACTAGTACTGTTTGAGGGGTAAAAACAAGTCTTTTCGCTCTCTCGCACCCAACGAGATCTCGGCGCGCCATTTTGTCTAGCGTCTATTTACCTTTAACCTTTCTAGGCAGTTTTCTCGATCGCAATAACACCTCACTGTTGGTATTCCCCTCGTCATTATCGGCCCGGTCACCATCAGGCGCTTGTATAACGGCATCTTCTCTGATTGCAGTCACGGTGCTGACTGGGTTCCACTCAACCCATAACTTCTTAGGAAACACCCAGAATGGCAATGAAGCGAAAATAACTAGCCCGCCTCCAATAATGATACCGATCCACCACGCACCAACCCAACGGGGGTCGTCCACCGTGAGAGTGGTCTCGGAATTATAGAAATCGACGTACAATGAACCAAGTAACCAGCCGGCAATGAAGCCAATTATTGGACCCAATCCAAACATGCTATCAAATATACCTGTGACATATAAAGACGAAAATAAGTGTTAGTCGTGTATCATTTAATAATATATATATAATAATGTTTTTCAAATGATAGACTAAAAAAATATTTGAAAATGAAAACTGAAATTGTCACCTCGCAGCATATGCATCACACACGCCGGGAAAATATGAATAAAATAATAGAGTTGCCGAAATGCTATTAAAAAATAATGGAAATGTTTTTCTAATTTACGGCAATAAGTGCCCTTTCTGACACTTAATACAACGAATGAACTCTATGCATAATATGCATTATGATTACATTTAGATTTCAAACAAAGGGACCTCTTGACTCCAGGAAATTTCACTTCACTTTATGGACAATGGACTATGTATACAAAATACCAACGGCAATTTCCTCATCGATACGAAGCTATTATTGTCCCTCTCATAGTATGCGTAGTTCATGCACGTCAGCAGGTCGGGTAAAATAGATAATTCGTCTTGTCGTTTGGTGCTAGATTAGTGCTGCTGCATAGGGGAAACAAATATAATCTGAAACCATACTGATTACCCTTACACCTTGTTCCATATTCCCTACTTCCTACAAACACGATCTTCGGATTTATTAAATTGAGGATTCGAAAGCTTCAAGGCAAATGCACATAAAACAGAATAACATTTCTGCCTAAAATTTACAGCATTTTAATGAACAGGGATATCATAATTTTACTATTACATTTGGATGATATGATATGATTATGATATGTACCTGAATATTATACTTTGCACTTAGTAATATATTAATGTGCATGCGCATTAAAAATAGCTCATAGTTTTATCGAAGGAATATTTTTTTTTTAATTTAAGCAACACAGAATAAGTGTTTACAAACTGTCAAATGGTTTACTGTACCGCGACTGATAACTGGGTGTACACATATCCGCTCGTATTTCTCGTGTAACATATCTCAAGTGACGGGTATTGGGTTACGAAACACCAGTGCCGAGTGTGATTGACGAGGAAGGGAACTACTTAATTTCGTTGCCATGGTCACCAAATTAGTCAGATGATGAGTCGATTGATTAGAGACAACCATGGCAACAGATATGATTGATTATAATCGTGATTAATGGGCAATATAAAGATGATCTAGCAGTTAGACGAGGGTCACGGCGATGATACTAGCCTAATGGATTGTTGAGGCTATCTCGTGTATAAAACATTTCCCGTAATGTACGGTTGACTTACGTGCATGCATGTACTGGTAAGACGTTTACCGAACTCATCATCTGAATTGATGTAACTCTAGCACTACGCAAATAAATCAATCGTACGTAACCAGTTAGCCACTGGCAGTAAACAATAAAAGATTAATATTATTTGCAGGTAATACACCCTCCCTGTATGTGTGGTAGAGCAGTCGCTCTTATTTTAGAATACAGTAAATTTGTAAAAGATCAAAACTATGTCGACGCCTTTTATATCCCTTTACGTCACAGAATATCCTTGTCGCCAGAGGGTGCTACTTAGATAGAAACGGTACTTGTGCTTGTAGCTCTTGAGAATATGAGGTGGAAGAGTCATAATTAAGGAAAAGGCGATATATTTCACTGGTAGCCACCATTTTGAACATATTTGCCTTTGCGGTACCTTATGCTCAGACATATTCACTGTCTGTGTAGAAAGTCTCGTTCTTTGTGTCTGAAACGTGTAATTTAATCGAACTATGCGTTCTGCAAATTCACTATATTGCTGAAAAAACAGCCATGCTCGTTATCTGTCGCGGACAACTCAAACGAACTGAATACATCGTTAATTCTTACAATCGCGAAATTTCTCTGCGATAAAGAGAAGTCAATTTGTAAACTAAATGATAAATACGTCTTAATGAATCTGTCTTGTTATGTTCATGAAAACTACACGTACTTGGTGGTAGAACCAGAACATATTTTATTTGGGTAGTTACAATGTGTTATAGTTTACCATGTCCTGTTTCCGACGTACAAGCATACCGCTCACTTCCCCTTTGTGCGGCATTGTATGATTACAAAATCAATATGAGCACACTCTGCAATACATGTCACAGCAACTTTTAAGAAGTGCAAAATCCCTGAAACTACTGTAATCAAACACACTGTCCTGAATATTCACGTTGATGCATGATGTCATGTTACGTGACTAAGTATCAATTATGCGTTTTTACACGATTATTTACATCCGAGTATATGTACAGAGAGTGACAGGTGTATGTCATGATATTGTACAGAAAGATTTGCAAGATTCCATATTATGATCGCGTGTGAAAGGATGCCATAATAACACGGCACATTACGAACATAAAAACACAACAAGAGATTGGAAATCATGATCATGGCAAAGCGCACCGTCACTGCAAGCAAATACGCACCTCGTTGTGACCCTAAAGAGAAGTCCCGAAGCAGCGTGTAATAAACGCAGACTTACAGCGACTAGATGGACAAACGAAAGCCAAAACTATGACACCACAGACAAAATTAGACATTTGAAAACGAGTATTCCTGGTCAGTATGACCTATATATGTGAGGCCACGGTAAAGCTAGACAAGGCTCTAATATATAATGTATGAAATAAGCGTGTTCATTTTTACTTTTTTTCCTCCAAAATTGATGAACTCTACCACTCGAGTCTGTTAAATTTTTTATCACATGAAACACATACATATGTCCTAGAAATGAATGATATACAGTTTATGTGTCGCTGTAAAAGTCACCACGGATTTCTGAATTCCCGGTGCGTATTTCAGAATACACGTGCACAAGTAGTAAACCCATGTCTAAACTCAATCATATCACTGAATCTACGCGAAAGTGAACTGAACTAGATTCCTTCATTAATTTGTATATATATGCGAAAAATTGACGCGACAATTTAGTGCCAAAAAAACTTCAAGAACCAACCACATTGTTGAATTCATAACACGTGACGAAGTCATCATAACATGACGTACCCCCAAGATGTCACAACGCATTGCCCATCAGAATCAAATTACTACTTTTTCTTTTTCTCATTATTCAGTCAAATAAAATCAGGTACAATTGTATTCCTTTGTGGAGACCTGACAAGTAAATTTGACACCTTCCTTAATACAATAATAGTAATGACTGAAACACTATAACAGCATTTGTTCTCATTAGACGGTAATTATTTCCCACTGACATGCACATATATAATATGAGTATCTGTCCATTAAAATACACAATGTATATCGTGGTCCCGATCCATTCGTGGATTAGTAGTTCTCACCATATATTCAAATTTAATCCCAGACATTTAGTTTTATCCACTTTAGAATCAATAATCATGCTTTACTAGTAATCGAGATGACATGAAGTGACGTCACTCAGAAACTCGCGATGATGAATGACTTATCGCGTGATGACTCCGTCGCCAATACCCCGCGTCACTTGATACATTGTCTAGTTTCAATATTTCACAAGACACGGGCGACAGCGAAGATTACTTCTTGTCTCCACTGCCATGGCCATGGGACTATGAATTGATAATTTATCACCAACCTCCAATCTAATTTGACACTTGACATTCAATTCTGTGTGTTAACTCCCACTGGTAACTTCATTTTGACACTTGAAATTCAATTCTGCACTCCCACTGAAAACCTATCATATCTATCATACCACACCATAACATGTATAACACGTCCCCTTACAAAACACAACGCATATCGTGGAATAAAATGCAAAACTTGGCAATTAAATCAAGGTAAAATTTAATTTAATTTATTAGATTATTATTGAATAAAGTATAACGAATATTATATTATAAATATTATTCCATTTTCCCATATATACATAGGATTATAAATTAATAGCCACCAGGTAAAGGTATTGAATTGCATTATGTACAACCAAACTTTTCAGACAAAAGGATTTGTATCAAATTGTGAAACTTAGATATAAAATATTCATAGAAATTTAGGACAACATCAATATTGCTAACGTTACAAGGCAGAATTATTATAAAAATCAACCAGTAAGCACAAATCACTGTTTCACATTTGCGTAATTCTGCTCTTATCGAGTTAACACAACATTCATTTTTTTTTTTCAATTTTTAAAAGGATAACTGTAATTATGATTTTACTAAGTCGACCATTCACTCGCATAGAGTTCTTTTTTTCATTAAAACAATGTAATGATCTGATTTTATTTTCCAGCGTATATGTTGCGTGTAGTTTATGCAGTTTCGTCGCTCAGTAGAGAGGTAGAGATGTCAGACACAATTAATTGACTCGGATTGATGCCATTTTTTTCGACATATATGCAATAGCTTGGAACATGTACACATTATTATTTTTAGACTAGACATTCAGCCCTCAATAGGTTACGGTATAAGTAGAAGTTGAGAATTTCTGTATAGATCGCGCAATTTTTAGCTGTAAGCCTGTTGAATTATTTTAATTCCTTAAGTTCATATATCTTTTTCGATGTGGAACTATTCTGTTCAGTGACAAAAAGAGACTGATGTTAAGCATTTTCAATATTGTCATAGTTCACAGCACGAATACACAGTTCTTTCTCATCATTTATTGTAATGCAAAACGCGTATCAATGAATTCAAACTGTATACAAAAAACGAAAAATGCGTTAATATAGCATTCATGAGTTTCTGTAGCACGTGGTACCCCGTCATATTAAGTTATCAGCATTAAGGCTCGTTCGCAGTTACATGATTACTGCAAGAGAATAATTAGAATTTCGATTCGGTCACTGGATTTAACATTGACCTACCAAATAGTAGAGTTGGAGACGGGTATTATGAGGACTAATTCAGTGATTAGGCGACGAACAAGACTGGACAATACGTCGGGTTAACGTACTGCGACAAACGCCTCGCGGTGCTGAATATAATAAGTAAGGTACGATGTAAATTTATTTATACACAGAAAATACAAGACTGCGGGAAATTGTGCGTCGAGACATAAAGTTTATTCTAGTGAATAAACGAATTCATTCATTAATTAATAATGACCG